AATGCTGAAAAGAAAGGACGAACACACTTCATTTGCTGATTCATGGACCATAATGATATGAAGTGCAAAAAGAAATCGTTGTGTTATTTACCACTGTTATGAATGTATAAAAAAAATTCACTTCATTTAAAGACGTTTACAATTTATTTGTTATTTCAAGCACTGCAATTCATACCGGAAATTCAATATGTTTTGTTTATATCCCCATCTTGTGGAGCATTTCATGCAACAACTTTTTATAACCTTACAAAATACTAATATCTGATTAGAAATTTTAAAAATGATATTTAAGCTAATAATAACCATTATGACAAAAAGAGAATTTTAAAATTTTTAATTCATTAATTGTCACAGTATCAATCAAAAATTGCTCATTAATTTTTTGCATATAGAATAATATACTTGAGAACCAATCACTCTCTGTTAATGGTGTTAGACTTGCACGCGTTGAAGGTTGTCTCTAGTAAAAGTTGGATGTTTTGAATTCTAATCCTTACCAATGCATTTCGACCGTGTTGGGCAGGGTTTTAATATGGCGAGTCGCCAGCGTGATGCAGTGGTTAGAGCGTCTTCTCTAGAGTCGCATAGTAAGGAGTCGATCCTTACATCGCAAGTTCGAATCATTTGATAACATTTTTAGCTCTCCGTCGGCAATTGTAAGTGGTGGTGTCTTCCACAGGCACTTATTATACCCTCCGCTTGAAAAGCGGGAGGGTATATTAGTAATCGTTAATTCCGTCCTCCGTCTGTCCGTCAGTCCGTCTGTTACGCTTTGGGGTACCCATCTCTTATCCGCAACTCCTGTCATACCACTGAATGAAATTTGGTGAAACTTTCACAGAATCTTTATTACATATTGCCATTGTGCACCTCCTATTTTAATTTTTGATCCGACATATATTTTGGGTTTCCCGGCCACAGCAAAACATGGACTTTGCCATTATAACTATATGGCAATCGTAACTACTCGGCCATTTCCTTGAACGATAAATATTATTTCTATTTCGAAAAATGACCAAGTAGTTACGAATGAACTATATGGAGGCGGGGGGTATCATTTAGTGAGCTCATCGCTCACAGTACCTCTAGTTTTTGTAATAAATTTTTGACCCATAGTATAATAATAACACAAAGTATCTAACTCCAAATTACACGGAGTACCCCCTCCTTTGAATCGCGCTCATTTGCACTTTCAGAGAAAAGGCAGTGGAAAACTGTTTATACCTATGCCATCAACGATAATTTATCTATACAACCATATATGGCTTGCTTGTCTTTGTTTTCTTTAATCTCCGTAAACAGCGTCAAAACTCTACTCGCCGATTAGAAAAGTCGAACTAAACCATAAAACGGTATGTGCTAATTTCGGGCAAAGAGAAAAATTAAAGAATGCGTGGGTTTAAAAATTCAATTCCAGATTTTAAATATTGCATTGAATAAGTAAAATTTTATAGTGTCTTATTTTCCATAAAAACACTAGGATGTTTTTCCGGTGTAATTTTAGAAACAGATTTTTAAAATTCGATGTCTAATTCTTTGCCCGAGACTAGAACATACCATTCTATGGTTGAGTTTCACTTTCCACTCGGCGAGCAGAGTATTGAAGCTGATTACGGAGATAAAAGAAAATAAAGACAAGCATGTCAGATATGGTTGTGTAGATAAATTATCGTAGAAGACATAGGTATAAACAGTTTACCCGTGCATTTCCTCTGAAAGTGTAAATGAGCGCGATTCTAAGGGAGGGGGATACTCGGTGTAAATCGGAGTTAGATACCTTGTGTCATTATTATACTATGGGTTAAAATTTATTCCTGAAACAAGTGCCTGTGGTGTCTTCATATGAGTGAAAAATTTTCGAGAGGGGCATTAAACGACATCCAATCAATCAATCATTTAATATAGCGTCTGATCTAGAATCGAGAAGGGGTTGGTCCTTACATTGCGGGTTCGACGTAGAGACCAGTTTTTCGGATGAAACATAAACCGAGATCAAGTTGCAGTATGTGATTTCATTTAAATACTCCTATCTGAGAGCCAGTATAGGTCTAAATTTGCAACCCTTCCCCAGCACGTACATGTGTATTCAGGTCTTGACACGAGTGAAAAATTTCGAAAAGGACGATAAACGAAGAAACACATGAACTTAAAATTATTTCGAAATTTTTAATAATACATGTATCCATTTGTAATCCTTTATACCCCTGCGAAATGATATTCATGATTTTAAGAACCTTTATGAGTTGTTCATAATTGTTCATGAATGGTTCTTAAAGGATTCTTAACAGGTTTATAAAAGTAGTTCATGAATAAAATTCATGAAAACTTTCAGAATTCATAGTTCATGAACAAATGATGAACAAATATGAATATTGGTAATTTTCAGTTTAAAGAAAAAAACTTAGTAGTTCAAGGTAATGAATGTTCATGAATTTTCATGAAGACTAAAAATGTAAAAAATAATTGTCACAAACGATCGCCAGAAAACACTCATAATACAACTTTTGCTTGCAGATGCAATTGTTGAACAACCCCCTGATTTAATTAATAACAGTCATGCTTTTGTTTTGATTTTGAAAGTATGGGATCAGGGCCGAGTAGGGGAACATAAGAGGTTAAAATCACTATTTTCTACTCTATGTAATTGATAACTTAGATTCTTCAGGATAATAAAACTCTGTTATGAACTGTCTAGAAGGGAGATTATAATTAAATTATGATCGTAATTTAAAGAACACTGCATCAATATTGACAGCATTTTATTCTCATATTGAATTACTTATGTTTCTTCATCATTTAAATTGGCCAGCTATATTAAAATTGTGCTTTAAATTATCTCATTTTTCACGAAACAACTTTGTTCGACCGAATTTTCTCTATTTGTCAAACTTTCAACAAGTTGTAAGAAAATGAAACAGACTTACAGTCTAGAAGAAATTTCATAATCTTCCTAAAAACGTATCATAAATTTATTGACAACTAAAAAATTATATCTCTTGTCCGTACTGTACCGTACCATTCTTGGGTCGAAAAGCTTTATATTTTGATGTTGTTATAAAGTAACATTTTTCTGTCCATCGTGTGTAAATGATACAGCACAGGCTGCATGGTTGTGAAGAAGCTATGACATGAACCACATTCGTATTTTGTAGTCTATTCTCCTATACACTTTCATATCTCAGGGTACTCAGTTTGAGGGAGAGTGGTTCCAAGAGATATTTGTTGTCCTCTGATATGGAGGCGGCCATACTTGAATACGAAACTATGGCTCTACAGGTATAATTTAAAAAATTCCAATTCAATAAATGATATAACATATTTATTTTAAAAAATTAATTTCAGTGAAAAATCATTCAGATAGTGTTTGTTATTTTTTGTTTAACAAAAATCTTGGCAATTCGAAACTATTTCTTAATTAGCTCTGCATGACACTTTTTAAAAGGCGCAAACTTTGAAACGCGCGAGACGTTGGAAAGTGAATCGGTAGAGTGGGAGGATTATTAGCGTAGTCATTCTTTGTCAACCTTTGAAGAAAATAACAGAATACGAAGAAGGAATATCCAGAGGATCAATTTACTTCATAACTGCAGATATTAGTGGTGAGTTACAAAAAAAAATGGAGGCAATCGCTGAATCTGTGAGATATTTGTCAAGATGTTACTGTCTATTTGTAAGAGTTCAGTCATGATCTTTTTATTGAAAATTTTGTCAAACTTTGTTATGAGTAAGAATCCAACCAAATTACGTTACATTTTTAAAGATTGAAACATTCATCCTGTTCACCTATAACATCTTGAACATGGCGGGCATGGGAAACAGGCTAAACTCCCGCTCGGAATGCTTTAAAATATGGCAGTGCCTATGATGCAGAATTAAATGAAACAAATATGCAAGTCAAGTTTTCGCATTTTCAGAAAATCTTTGTTCTTGTAGGGAAAAGAGAAGCAGTTCACAGATAATGTTAATGAGTTGAGATCAGAAGATTAAAAAACTCTGGCTGCCAAAAAAAAAAAAAGAATATAAAAAAATCCAGGCTCTTGAAGAAAAACAAAAGAAAGGAATGAAAATATGAATCGTAATCGATCAAAGGATCCAAGTGATGAAATTCTGAAAATTCCACAGGGAAAGCCAATAAGATTTTTTTATTTGACCACCTCTGCTCAAAATCCTTGAAAGCCCTCTTAGCTGATGCCCTAATTGCTGAACACACTTTTCTGCCAGACAGTGAGACTTAGATTAAAAATCATTCCATTTTAGGCATACACTTTGAAATACGCTGAATAAGGAACCCACTCTCCTCTTGACCAAGTAAGGTTAAGGATTCTGCAGAGGCGCGTTTGAATTGAAATTTTTCATAATTTATTACTAGGAATGAACTACATAGTTTATTTATTATCGTTATCACTTATCAGAGTTGTTTACTTGAACAAAGATTTTGTTACCATGATTGGAAAACAAAAATTCTGTGAAATCTTTTAAGATGCTATTAAAATATTTTCTTTTACAGTTTTTCATTTTGCATAACTTATTACATTTTTGTTTACTAAAAGCAAGAACTTTCATGAATAGTTCATGAACATTCCTAAATAACTTTTACAAATTATTCATGAATAGTTCATGAAAATGCATTGAACCTATTAATATCATTCATGAACTTTTCTTGAAAGTTCATGATTATAATTCATGAACTTTTCTTGAAAGTTCAAGAATTATTCTTGATCATTTTGCAGGCATTTAAAAAATCCAAGTTTGTTCATGAACAACAAATAATTCTTGAATATTCTTGAACTTGGTTTTCATGAATAAAATCCATGAAATCATGAGTGTCCAATTTTAACTTCATGGGATCTTCATGAACAATTCATGAGCTGATTCAAGAATATAATTCATGAACTTTTCTTAAAAGTTCAAGAATTATTCTTGATCATTTCGCAGGGGTAATATCATTGAACTGAGAAATAATCTCCTTAGTTACATTAGAATGGAATTATAGTGGTCTATATTAAAACCTACATGTATTCCTCACACATAATATAAAAATATATGTCTTATCTTCTGATGCTGAATCATTCAACTCTGAGATGAGTATCAGTTAATTCAAGATCATTATTGTTCCTTGTGCACTGTTCTTGAGTGTGTGAAGAAGAGAAACTCCATCCGGCACCACCATTTCACCGGTACTTAGGAACGACGACCATCACCAGAACAAAGACTGTAATACACAGTGAAAACACTTCATGTGGAATTGTTCCTCCTGATGTATCTCTTATTTGGGGACCATTGCAGTAGTTAGTATGGCAAAGTGCAATACAAAACGTAAGTCCGGAGAGGTGATCATATGCGCACTGAGTCTGGTTGTTTGGAAGCACCGTTTTCGCCAGTATAGAGACATTTTGACCGGAGTATTCACCATTTGTACAACCACGTATAAAGCTTACAGTGGCACCTGTAACAAAATTATTTCATGGTTATAAGGAACAAGATACATGTATATGCCAACTGATGCTGAAATAACATTTTTTTTTCAAAAAATCGACGATCATTATAAAATAATCCTTCATATAATCCTATATTTTTCTCTTGTTATTGTATATGATTAATTTTTGGTTAAAGAATACAAGCTACTAACTATCAAATTAATGAAATGTTCCATCACAAAATTATTTCATTTTGTGTGATTAAACATTACCCATTACTGAACAAATTTTCTAACCCATTGACAAAATTTACCACTGAAACAAATGACCGAGCAGTGTACCTAACTAAATTGCAATAAGTTTGGTTATTCTTGTAATTGGGAAACCATTTGAAAAAAAGGCAATTTTCTTAATGAACACTGACATCCAATTCCTTTATTTCATTCACTAGTATCACTGACGACAAAAGGAAATCAATTATTAAGTACATTGATTTATTTACCAATAATTGTATGATCTCGGAATTCTAAACGAAACGTTCTAATCAAGACACATGCATCTATTTCCTCATAATTTAAACATGGATGTAATATAAATGATGACAAAATTGAGACATCATTATTGATTTACTTGTAATTATATGACTTTTAATAATACCTAGTTCGAATCAAAATCCGGCGATGCCAAAGATATCAAAATTTACAGCTGTATAATGATTCACCATCTTTTCTGTCAATTAATACGCTTGCTAAATGCAATTCCTTATTCACGAGCGTAGCATTACCTCCTGCGTTCATTATAGCTTCAACCTTGCAATATCTGCTGGCAGTGCAGTTTCGGATAAAGAGTCCTCCTTTCATTCTATTTTGTAGAAGTTTCACCCCAGATTTACAGGTCTGTTGCGACGTGGTTTCCTCGCACACATAGCAAGATGTTCCACCTACAGAAAAAAATATTCAATGTTTTTTTCATTTCTATGTTTTGGTGCGATATATAAATTATTTCTAGGTTTTTCCTCCTGTGGAGAAAAGGAGGGAGGTGTTCGTTACACCGATTCACTTGAGATTAAAGAAAAATGCTTAAAGGGACATGAACACAGTTAGAAATAATTCCATTTTTACCCTTATTTTAATGTTTACAATTCCTTATTAAGGCAATTTAAAAAATGCTCAGCAAAATTTGAACATCGGTTGTTGATTTAAAAAGGATACAGAACTTAAAATTCTTCATAATGTAAACGAGGCTCATGCTTTGTTTTTGTTTACACATCGAAAATGTCATATTTAAAACAAAACGGGATTCAGCAAATCACTAGAAACTGTCTTATCGTATTTAGACTTAACATTTTTATTGAATAATATTAATAAACTTTGTCAGGTTGGATCTGAATATTGTAAACAAAGGGCAAAAATCATACAAAATATTTTTTTGGAAAGAAACTTTTCTTTATTTTGCTGAATTTTTAGAAAGTTTTAATTTTCATGATGTAGATATATTGTAAGAACCATCATGGTATAATAATAAGATTCAAAATACAAACTGTAAATGTGTATTTTATAAAACATTGTATGAAAAAGGGTTCCATGTAGTGCATGATTTATTTGATACAGAAGGCAATTTTATTAGTTATGAAAGTATCACAAATGATTATTTTAGTTAAGTTGCCATTCACCACTTATGAGGGACTAAAGCAAACAGTTTTATATTCATGGCCATATGTCAAACAATTGTCAAAAACTACTTATGGTAAACCATACCAACCTGAATTTTTAAAAAAAACTTTATCAGAATAAAAAAGGATCCAGAAATATTTATCAGCATTTAATGTCTAAAATACAGCACAGGCCTATTTGTGAAAACAAATGGGCTATTGATTTAAAGTTGGAATCTGATTTTAAGTGGAAGCACATTTATACAAACTTAAAATACTTAACTAAAGATTCAGCACTAATATGATTCAATTATAGAATTATTCATAGAATTTTAGGTACAAATAAATACTTACACTTGTCTAAAATTAAAGATTCTCCACTTTTCATTATGTGAACAAGAACCAGAACAATTAAACATTTCTTTTTTTACTGTCCACAGGTTTCTATGATTTGCCTAACATTGTCAGATTGGATTTTTCAAAAGTCTGGTAAAAGAATTGAATTTGATGTAAAGACTGTTATTTTTGGTATTTTTGAAAAAGATCATGTACATTGTGTAGCTATAAACTTGATTATTCTGTTAGTGAAGAAATACTTATTTCAGCAATCCAGAAACAATTCTTGTATTGTTTTCAAAGACATTTTGAGAGTTTTATATAATTGCTATACTTTAGAAGAAAAACTATCAGAAAATACTTTTTATAAAAAAGATGGTCCAATTGGAAATGTCTATTTAATATGTCTAATTTTGAAAATGTTCTTGAATAATTATTGTTAATATACTTATGGTCTTCTTTTCCAACATGTATGAAAGGATGTGTGAAAGGTTCTGTATATTCGTGTGTTTGGTATGAAAATAAATAAATTAAAAAAAACTTCTTTATTGAAAAAAAATCTGTGAACGAATATATTTTAGTATACACTGTATTTCATCTCTGTAAACAAAAACGTGGCATGGGCCTTGTTTACATAACAAATGTTTGGAGCTCTAAATCTGTTTTGCATCTCGACAACTGAAATTCAAATTTTTGATAATCATTAAATATACTTTTGTTAAGTATTTGTTAACGTAAAAAAGGGAAAAATAAATTTGAATTTTTTTTTTCGCTGAAACTGTGACCATGTCCCTTTAAAATCTCAATCCCAGGGATAAAGGACTCCCATGTCTCGGATCCCTTTGTTTATTCACATATTATAAAACCCGAGGAGGGGATTCCATAAACTAGAGATGACCCCCCTTTTCCCCAAAGAAGTGTCAAATGTCCATCCATCTCTACCCTACCCTAAACTTTCCAGGCTCATTGAAAGGTATTAAAATTCTGTCAATTAAGATATATATTTAATAATGTAGTTTACCACTGGATTAATATGCCTTAATATTGGCATTTTGTTCCGTTTCGCACAAATCGGAACAGACAGGCGGACGGACATGGCAAAAACTATATACCCCCGAATAAACGATGAAAGGGGCATAAAATGTTTACAGAAAAAAATGGTACGAACATTGTTCGAATTTCTTTGACAATATAGAAAATTAAAATTGTTCCTGTAACTTTATTTTCCAATTTACTTTTTTTTTCACCGCTAAAAGTAGTGGATATTATTTCTCTGTAATACTTTTGTTTTCACGCAATATATCGAGAAGTCTTTGAGCTTTTGTGATGATATTTTTATACCACAACTCCCTATGACCTAAGGAAGACTCATATTTCTTTCGAGATCGAAAGGTAAAGGTCGTAAATTCATCAATTCTGCGGTGGAAACATTTCTTTTCCCGGCGATATTTCAAGGAACTTTTGACTTTTGCAATTACATTGTACATTTTATACCATTATATCTCCCTATGGCCCCGTCGGCCCTTCTTAAAATCCGTCCTATCCCCCCCTTTCACATTTACATCTGCTCATACTGTTTTATTCCTTAACGGGGGATACAGATCCTCTGAATTAGCCTATAAAGATACATTTTTCTGATTATATCGAAAATATACATTATCCTTGACCCTAGCGCCCATAAATTTAATTTGCATTAATTACGATAAAACAACTTAGTTTCGTAAATTGTTATCGGACGAAATGGTAAAATTATAGGTTATTCAGGTACCTATTTTAGAAATAAAAATCAACTTGCACTATTTCAAATTGAAAATTTTTTAGGACAGATTATGAGAGTATTGTTTATTTAATCATGTAAACGGTTTGAATTTTCAGAAGTTAAAAAAATATATATATACTCTTTAAATTAATGCAAGATAATTAGTTTAATGGTTGACTTACCCGAAATTGGCATATCCAAGAAAAAAGTGACAATGATAGCAAAAATTATCGACATTTCTAACTGAAGTTTCTGTACTTGTCTTTACATCTACGCCATTTTCATTCCTCGGATGGGTAATTTTCTCTAGGCGGGCTTTGATTCTTTCGTTTATGACATTGGGAATTAAATTAATATGCCTAAGTAAAGGACAAAATGGTATGTCAATATTTACACGTATCTTAACCAATACTACACACGAACCTTTTTGACGGAAACATATATTTTTCTTAGTGTTGAGAGGTGTTCTGAATATTGCTAGGTAGGTTTGCTGGAATAAAAAAAACTTAGGAAAACTTCCATAGATTACATATAAATCCTTGTGTATTTACCGATAAGGAACACCTTATACTACCTACTTATGATTAAAATATAGTTTACAATTGATAAGTGTCCTGTACTTCAGCTTATGGATAGATAACACACTTTTTTCACACATCAGCAATATTTTCTCATAGAACGTAACCTGTATAATGTTTGCCAGGTAAAGTGAGAGAACTCGTTAAGATGTTGTCACAATATTACACATAAGTGCAATTTTTTTTTGTAAAATTATACAGAAAACGACTCAGAAGTGCTTTTCTAATAACCAAAAAATCTTACGATTTCAACATATTTTATGGATTATTTATGCCATTTCTTATTGCAGCTCGGAGGACCGGGCTGTTCTATACATATAAGTTTATATATATGAGATGTTGGTGTATGGGGTTTGAGATGGGAGAAGTTATTCAGAATTAAAGGTTAACTATACGTTAAAAAGATTCGACATCAGAATTAATGTCATTTGAATTCCCTATATAAATTACGAGATACATAATATATTTACTTCAATACAATGGATCTTTAAATATATATGTTTTTTCATTTTAATATATAAAGTTGCTTATCATTTACTATCGAAAAAAAAACACGACAGGTCTTTTTATTTTTTTTTTTTAAACATCGAATTTTACTTATCGCATAAAAACGTACGTTACACAGTTCGCGTTTTATATTCTTAAAGTGAAATATATTTTTGAAATTAGGTGCTGCAGGTGTCTGATTTAAATTTATATTTTATGCAGCCAACATTTACTTAAGGAATTGATAAAGTTTGAAAGGGTATCGTTTTTGTTCGATTTTTATTCAACTAAAGTTTCAAAATCTTCATGACTATCGTCTCCATCATTTAAACACGTCTTTTTCACACATATCGAAGCGGTTTGATGATCAATACTTATTTCCATTGTTTATTTCATTTATATCCCGGGCGACAATTGATGGATACATCAAAGTTTTTTTGGTCAAAGATAGTCAAAAAAATATTTATCAATCCATGCATCAACTTTTTGTTTCTGTTATTTATCCTTATAACATGATAGTTTCAATTTTTAAATGGATTTATCACTGTTAATTTAGACTTTTTTCTGCATATATAGAAATACTCATTCAACGAATTAGTCAGTATGAAGATTAATGGAATTGACGAGTTAAAGTTAGCTTACCTCAACGAAGTTATGTTTAATATTAAGATTTACTACCGTCAGGGTCCCATGATATTAAACGTTTTTGGAGTAGATTTGCTTTGGATGCAGGGTTTGACCTACATTTTTTAGATGAGAGAACAGATACAAGTTTTTTTAAAGTAGATTGAAAGACCAGAAGCTATTTAACCTATCTGTTTAAAACTTGCATGGACGATGCAACAAGGGTTGCGCATAATCAAAGCTGCCCCAGATGCTGGATATAGCCTACAATTAACATATATGTTACAAGTTTTAAATAGTAGGTCTATTACCAAAATAATAAATAAGCCTGTCTAAATCAGACTTGCATCGAATGAAGCATCAAGGCATGAAATTCTTCAGTTGCTGGTGTTGACTTGCAATGTCTCGCTGAATTAATTTTTTCTTTAATTAGACAACTTCATTCCCAAGTAATTGCAAGTCCTCTCATACCAAAACTGCTTATATACTGACACGCAAAAGAAACGCAACACCCTACTTTGAGAGAAATAATTATGTAAAGTAAAGAATTTTGTATCTTAAAATTATAGATATCTTCAATTTGGTAAATATCGGTAATTTAATGATTAAACGATTTCTCATATACGATAACCGGAAGACAAGTTTGAGTCTGCTTAACAGAAATTAAACATTGCATGTTTGACAAAACATTTGGCAATATTATGGAGTTTTAAGGGGTTGAACTGTTTATCTTAAGTAATCACGCAATATTTCAAAAAATAAAATCCCCTTTCGTTTCCCGTTACGATGCTAGGGCTTCTCGAAAATGTCTTAAGTAAGCATTTTCATTGCCTAACTGGAAAATCTCAACGTCAAGGTGATGGAGAGTTGATGATGCAAAAATACACTTTACGCCTCAACGGGGTTAATGTATCATATGCATAAATGATAGTCACCAAAGTTTTTTTACAATGCGCTAAGTTAGAGAAAATTCGACCTAATCATCTCAAAAACAGGCATTTAAAAATGGCAAAGAATAATTCCTTCGCTCAGATCTCGATATTGATTAACCTATTGTATCGTAAAAATCAAGCTGCAATTGTTGTTTAGGACAGTCTTGCACGTTGTAATTGAATGGCTGCAGTCATATGTTAATTAGTAAAGTTAAAAGATAAACATTTAACATTTTTATCAATTCATGTTCTGAAAAGTGATTGCCTTACTGTATTCTTTTTTGAAAATCATTAGATAAAAAATTCAAACATTTTAGAATTGCTTGTTGCTTTTCTTTTGCGTGTCAGTATATGTTTTAACATGTCTAAGGTTGCACACTACTGGATTTTTATTTTTTGTGTAGGACTTTGGCTTGATTAAACACAACACTCCTCGGGGTGACCTCCGTAATACCTACTTATGATTTAAAAATAATATTTGGAATCATAAGGGGAGAAGTATTTTTGTCTAGTAATCAATTCATTGTCAACAATTTAATTGCTATTCCAGACAGAAGTATTTGTTGTTCTTTTGAATAGCAGAAGTTATACTAGTATGCAATTTAGTATAAAGCTGTTAAGGTTGTGCAGATCACTCGCAAGTGAAGTATGCAATTTAGTATAAAGCTGTTAAGGTTGTGCAGATCAAAAAAAGAATATCATTACATTGTCAAAAAATCAATGAAAGACCTCCTATATTGGTCATATGGGAGTCTATAATACAGAATAGGTTGATGCTGTCTAAATGTATTATAACCGCCTCTTACAAAATATACATAGTAACTTTTGATATTTAAATACAAATAGTAGAGGAATCCAATTAAGGTCAAAGTCATATCAGTCACATTACAGGTCGAAGGTCAATAATTGTAATGTCATTTACTGAACTTTTAAAATTTTAGCATACATTTTTTAAAATCGCTAAAATATTTGAAACTGTTGGTTCAGTTGTCTGCACTTTGCCATATTTAGTTCTGGGATCCATTTAAACAACGCCGTTAATTTCTTATCACTGGTGTCAATATACTTTAATTAATTTCAATAATACAAAAATGTTGCCTCTATAAACTTTGTAATCGATGAATTAAATGGTATAATTTTTAAATGCGCCACGTTTGAAATCCCTTGTCTAATAGGCAATTCACTTTCTCTCTCTCTCTTTTAATAACTGAAATCGCATCACATTCTGAATTAAATTCACAAAATCACCTAGAAAAAATACATTCGATAACCTCTTGTCTGTGGTAATTCATTATTTAATTTTAAAACGGGATGGGTATGGATCCATTCTTTAATTAAAAGTACATTTTTTAAAAGAAGTGTTAAAAGCTGATTACCACAAAACATTATGAGCATTTCTCTGTAAGCAATTGTGTTTAGAGTGTCAGGCCATTAAGGTGCCCTTATCGTGGTGGGGAGCCATCAGGTTCAGGTGCGAGGGAGGGACCTGTAATTGACATGATGAGCAGCGTCTGTTCAGCCTAGTTACGGGGCATTTATCTGACGAGGAACAATATTCCCACCTCATCAAGACACAAGACGTTGTCATGGAACCTCCCTGGAGAAATAAATTATCTAATATAAAAACCAATATTAAAATTAATTCGTACATGTGCAGACGGTGCCAGTGAGTCGACAACAATATGTTTTTCTGCTCAAGTTTATGATTTCTACGTTCGATCGTGTTATATAAACTTGTGGGTTAAAAGTGAATTCAACTTGTTTTCGAGCCGAGACGCATGTTCTGATGTCTTAGATAAAAATACAAAATAATATTAAAAGCTGTTATCATTTCCCCAACATCGATATAGACAGACGGGGTAATCATCTTTTTCCACTTTCTAAGGAATTACAATGCAATATCACGTATTGTAAGATGTTAAGGATACTATTACTGGCGTTTGATGTTACATGTTTTACTTGCCTAAAATGGCAAGCAAAATTTGCGCTTTGGTATTTGTAATATATCATAATTGTTTGTTTGAACTCGAGTACAAAATCAGTTTGGTCCAAACCCTAAATATACCCCCGCATGAAAAGCGGGAGGGTATATTATAGTAATCAGTATGTCCGTCTGTCTGTTTCGCTTTGACGCCATCTCTTATCTGCAACTCCTCTCATTCCATTAAATGATATTCGATGAAACTTTCAAAGAATCTTTATTACATATTGCCATTGTGCACCTCCTATTTTACTTTTTGATCCGACACATATTTGGGGTTTCCCATAGCAAAACAAAGGCACTGCCATTATATTCATGGAAGGCGGGGATATTATTTAGTGAGCTAATTGCTCACAGTACCTCTAGTTTTAATCGAAAATATGTACTCTGCATAGAAATCGTTAATTGACCGTCGTTATATATTTTTCTAACCTTACGGTCAGTTCATTGGTCACAACGTTACACTAAAAGCGTTACTTTTCAGAATATAGCGCCGTTATGTGATTTAAATAATACGGAAAAGTTTGCGGTCGTTTTTTCCTTTGAGAATGAGAAGGTGGAAGCAGACAAATCCTTATAAATAAATCGTCATATAACTTCTTTTCCCCTAGACTTAAAAGTAACTACTC